CTGGTGAATCCTCTCACCACCCCTGCACCTCTGGCCTGTACCCCAGTTCTGTATGCATAAATAAATAAATAAATCTTAAAAAAAAAAAGAAGTGTCATCTGGTGCTGAATCAATGCTGCCTGAAAGGATCAAGAATCATGTGGAGACATTCCTGTTCCATGAAAGGCAGAGCTTTCGTTCCCTCTGGCTGGGCAGACAGCTCTGTGGTCGCGACATCACTATTTATGGGGCTGCCCGTCCCCGGTCAGGACTTGTACCTGACTGATATCTGCAATGACTTTTGATTAGACCTGGCGTGTTTCCTCCCTGACTCTCACCGGGGTCATGACGAGGCAGGGCCTCCACCCTGGCCGTCTGGAAGACACATTGGCGTCTGTTGTCATCCGTCTTCCTGTAGAAACTGCACCCCAGAGAGAAGCTGCCTCCAGCCTCCCTTTCATGCAGGACCCCACCAGCTCATCCTTTTCTACAAGGATATTAGAAGAGCAAATTTCAAGGAAATGAAGACAGCAGACAGGGATTTACAAAAGCTTTAACTACGGATACGTTTGAGTAAGTAGCACATTCAAGTGGTTCAGAAGTCAAAAGCTACACCAAATTCTTTACAGCAAGGCTTCCTGCCTTACTCTTGTCTTCAGCTACCTAAAGCCCCTCCCTGGAGGAAACCACATGTAGATGTGACTAGATATTTGACTCTTTCTGTTGTTCATGATTTTTACTTTCTCTGGAGCTTTCTCGTAGCTCCTACAACCCACGATCCGTTTCACCCTGCCCTGCCCCCAGCTCCAGCCCCCCCCCCAGCTGAGTACCCTGCACAAGCCCCTGGCAGATGTGAGGATCAGCTGACAGCCTGTCTGTAATACCAGAATATTTGATGAGTCAGGGCTTAGAGCCTTTTGATTTGATTGTGAATTAGATGCATTTTCATTCACTTATGTTCTGGTTCGAAGATAAGCCAAGAAGGCTGACTGTCACATCGGCCTGCTCATGCAGTCCTCCTTTCATGAACTATTGCTTCTACTTGTACCACTGCCAGTTCAGGACGGTTTAGAGCTCACTCACACATTTTTCAGAGGACGGTTGTGTAAGAGATGTCGATATTTTCCAACTGTTTTTTTTTTCCCCGCTTCTTCAACTGTTTATTCTTTTGGCTCCTGCAAGAAAAAAAATCCTTATCCTTGGCCCGCCCCTACCCTCAGCCCCACCAAGGACACCCACGTGCTTGGTGGGGTCTCTCTCTGGCTCTTCTTTTCCAGGAACCATTGAAATTGAGGAAAGTATTGAGAGGAAGATTCCTGTCTTCCCCAAGACAGGTTTTTTTCTTTGTTTTTCTTTCTTTTTAAAAAGATTTATTTAATTGTGCATACAGAACTGGGGTACAGGCCAGAGACTCAGGGGTGGCGAGAGACAGAGTGGGGAGCAGAAAAGGCAGATCGA